GCCTGTGCTGAAGGTGTAGCTCAGGGTTTTTAGATTAGTCGTGGTCGTTTACTGAGATTATTTAGGATTTCCTGTAGAAGCAGAGCATTACAGGCTGGGTGTAAGCCAAGCCTCAGCTCTTCACAAAGCAGCAGGAATGACTCTCCCATCACTCTCTGTTGGGGAGGAAGAACGTTCTTGATTGCCTCTCAACTTTTCAGCACTAATAGCTCTTTATTTTTCTTGCATCTTGGTTACACCTGCTTCCAACCTTTGAAATTCACGACAGTGAGATCATGCATAACTTCCCAGCCCACCTCCCTGCATGCTGTGGGGACACCTACCAGCCAGTTTGTGCATCCCCGTGTTCCGGTTGCCTCTGGTAATGTGTGACAAGCAAACCAGTTGAACAGAACTTGACCCAAGCACATTTCAAGCACTGCCTAAGAGCATTTTGCTTTTATGACTCGTAACTGTTGGAGTGCTTGCACACCCCGTTGCCTTCATGTCACAGGTTGGGCCTCCATCGTGGGCTCTCTCAACTTTGTTTTCTGTAGGACAGTGTTGAAAGGGAAGTGCTACAGCAGCAGTTGCAAGAGGCGAACCGGAAGGCTCAGGAATATCGCAGCCAGCTCATGAAGAAAGAGCAAGAGGCGGAGGAGTACCGGCTGAAGCTGGCAGCCATGGTGAGGCAGCAGCCCAATGGAGTGGAGGTGACAGTGCTCGAAGAGGTCGCTGAGGTTGACCCGCTTGTGGTAACCTCGGAGGACATCAAGGAATCCGTTCTGGCCATGCTAGAAACAGATCAGCCAACCGATACAACTGTGGAGACTGTAACCTCCTAATCCTTGGTGATTGACTGGGTTTTGTATGGGAAAATAACCTTTTTTTTTTTGTGTGTGTGTGTGTGTGTTAAATAAGGTGCTGTTGGCAAGTGGTGTTGGAGCAGAGGGCTGTTGTCAAAGCCACCCCGTTGCTGGGGGTAGAAGCTTCTCCAGCCACTTGCAATGTAACTCTGCTTTCAGCGTGGTGCCAAAAGGTGCTTTTAAAGCTTGACCTTGAGAGATTGGAAGCTTTTTAACAAAATCTTAGCCAGTGAGTGACCTAACGGCTTATTTGGTGATGTCAATACCTGCATTGTTGGGGAGTGGAAAAGAAATACCTCATTGCCAAAGCAGCTGGTATTAGCGCTCAGCTGCCTGGAAGTTACAGCACTGAAAACAGACTTTCTGCAATAACCTGAGGTGTTCGCTCCCTTTGGCGAAGTCGAGTGGCTGGATCTGGACCTTCAGAAAAAGTCGACTCTTGGGGTGTTGCTTTAAAATCTTCAGAGGTGTGGAGGGGATTTCCCCTTTCAGCCAGAGAGCAAGTTACGTTCTTTTTCTTGCAAAACCATGAATCTCCTTGATGGAGGCAACCTTCAATGCAAGAGCAAAGGCCAGGCTGAATGTCTGTCAGATGGAGCATTTCACGCTATCAGGGAATACCACGCTTCACACTCTGTGTTTCAGGAACAATTTGGGGAAGGTCTTTGTCAGACCCCTTAACTACCCAGAGGGATTGCAAAAAATTCCTCCTCAGTTTTATGGTATTTAGTCAAATGTTCTATTTGACACTTCTGCGCTGAACAGTAGCATTAACTGATTATATATGCAAAACTATACATACGGTGGTTGCTGCAAGACAGCTTGAGAGTCGAGTTGTCTCTGGAGATATATATGTCACTTTTTTTTACTAAACAGTTTTTATTTTTAAAGATACTAAAACCTTTTTTAAGAAGCAGCTGATCTTGTTACTGAAATGTTCGTGGTTTTTTTTTTACTCTCTGCAGGCCCGTTTAGTGCAGGGATCCGTTTAGTACGGTGGATTGTGGGTTTCAAGACAGCAGGGAACTGATTGGAAGCACCCCGAGTAATTGCGTGGAGCTCAATAGTGAAAGGTTATCAAGGGAAGTTTAGAAAAATACCATCACGCAAGCTGTGCTGTCGGCCGTGAAAAGGTTTTAAGGGCAAGGAGTGACTTGCAGGTCTGAGGCCCTAGCAGATGGGCTGCTCCCTGAGAATGTCTTCCTGCCAGACAATCCCTAGCTCTTTTGGCCTGTAGTTTACTGATTTAGGGTTTGTTGGGGTTTTTTTTGCCCTAGTTTTGTAACCATTGGCAGGATTCAAGGTAACAATTTGATTTCATGGTCCTTGCATTGCATTTTTCTGTGTTATTTCCAAGCCTGTCTGGATAATGCGTTTTTCTCTTGGTTCAGGTACTGCCTTTGTTACTGTTTCTTTGCTGATAGATCAGCCCATATTGTGACATTGGAGATGTAATACAGACTAACAAGTTCATAAAGGTATGAATGTGAGGTCACAGCTCCAAAGGAATCTCTCACCCCAAGAGGAAACTGCTTTTCATATTAAAATCAGTCAGTTCCTTGTGGTTGGACCTGAAAGGAAGGAGGGATCTGCCGAAATCCCCTCTTCAGCAACGTTTCACAGTGTTTCACTGGTTGGGTTCACCAGCGAGTGGTAGGAGAGGAAGGTTTATGTGACTGTTGTAAAGGCTTCGTGAGACTTGCTGAATTTCGAGAATCTAAGTGCATTTATTTATAACCAGTGTAGCTATATTTATAAATAAGACTTTTTTTATCTTTTTCCAAAAGATGTTTTGAAGAAGGCTTTAATAATTATTTTTTATGAACAAATGTTTGGAGAGACTTGGGTCCTGGCTGTTGATTACTTCAGTGTTTCCTCACTGACTTCAAGCATGCGTTATTTTCTTTTGTTCCCCAGAACATTGATGGTTTGGGTCTGTTTGAACTAAAAATCTGCGTCGGAGGGTTCAAGGCAGTATTAAAGTAAATCCAGGCAGATTCTTCTAATACCCAGAAGCATTTACGGATGTAAAGGGACACTGTCAATTTTGGCTTTTACATTTCGCCTGAAATTTGTGCTTATTATTTGTAAATTTGAAGAGCTCAGCAGCTGTAGCATATATAAACACTGCGTTGTGCCTTTGACAGCACTGCGATTCTCAGTTATTTCCATCCTTCTCCTGAAAAGGGTCGGTTTTGCCAAAAAGTCCCTTCAGCTGGGAAACAAACTTCCCCTTCAGAAGAGGAGGAAAAGAAAAAAAAAGTCCGTGGCACTCACGGTAACTGGATTTGGTTTATAGAGTTGGAACAAATAAAGCTGACAGTGTTCTTACTGCTTTGCCTTGTGGGGGGCTTAAATCACACTTTAATTTTATTTTTAGAAATACTCCCATACGGGTCTGAACAAAGACGAGGAGAATTTGATCTCTGCCCAGCGTTTAGAAAGAATTTAAACCCTGCTGCAGCCGTTGCTCTTCCACAGAAAGGATTTGGAGCTTTTTAAGCCAAGACCAGCAGTTTTCTGGTCAGTGCGTAGTCAGCTGTGGCAGCGTAGGGCTGTTCTGAAGCGGGTAAATAACCTCCCACTGGAGTCTGGGCCGGACTCTGCTGCGTCAGGGCTTTTCTCACCCACACCTTTGCCATCCTCGCACCACTTTCACCGGCCAGCGCAGGATTCGAAGAGGTTAAAGGCTAAACAAAGCCCTTTGCTTTCAACGGCTGCGTTCTTATCGAGGCAGAGCAGCCCAGCTCCCCTCCGCCCACACCTCCAGCCTGACTTCCCCTCTGCTGCGAGCTTGGGATCGCACCAGCGCTTGCCTGCATGCTTCTGCGGGTGGGAGAATCCCGGTTCCTTTCCCAGAGACGCCAATGCAGAAGTTGCGGTCTTAAAACAAACGTGGGTTGTTTCTCCTCGGTGGAGGAGGTGGCGCGGCACTAATTGAACCAGTTTAGGTTTGATTAGAGGTCTGTTTGCCTCTTGTTTGCAGTAACCAGCTCTAAACAGTTCCCTTTATCCTAAATCGGAAACAGGGCGTTGTAAATCCGGTGGGGATGAGCGGAGGAGGTCACGGAAACGTGAGCTAAATCCTCTCCAGACAACTGTGAAGGCAAATAGCAAACCCCGGGAGTTAAGCTGAGTGGGGCGCAGGTCCCCCGGAGACCTTGGCTGGGGCCTTCCCTGTCCGTACCCCCCTTCCACTCCAACCCACCACCTGTGGGGTGGTTCTTGGTGCCAAATCTGATTATTTCTTTAATCTCGCCTTTATCAGATTGTTTTCCCCCGTGCCAGGCACAGTGCCGGGGTATTTATCGCAGAATAAATGGCCGCTTCACAGTGGCAGGTCCCTTGCGGACCCCGTTAGCGCTCTGATGAGGAACCAAGTGCTTGGGACCCCTTTTCTACTGAGGGTTAAGGTTTGGAAATGCAGAAGTTTCAACATTTATACTTTTTTTTTTTTTTTTTTTTTTTTTTTGTGTACTATGTTTCTTAATAAAATACCATGCCCTCAGTGAGCAGCTTTCCTTCACCCCTGGTGTCAGTCCAGTCCCCCTAAGCCACCACCTTGCCAGCCCCTTCATGTCCTCGGGTGTCCCACGTGCCACTGTCTCTGTGAGGACAGCCCAGGGCCACCATGCTGGACTCAGGGGTGTCCTGTCCCCATCCCACTCCCCACCCTTGCCCTGGACAGAGCCAGGCAAGCAGCTGCATAGGAGCGACCATGTATTTAATTGCCACGGCTGGCACAGGGCTGAGCCCTGGTCCTACACAGTAGGATGAACCGAGCTCTGGTGCAGAGAGCCGCCATGTCCGACACCCTTCCTGCTGTCCCCAGGGTGGGGGGGCTGTGGCCATCAGGGTGGGCAGCAGCAGCTCCAATGACCCCCAAAGCAGTGAATAAATTAGAAAGGATCAAAAAATGAAAAAGCCCTGGGAGCTGGGGGATCCTGTCACCCTGGGCAGGGAGACAGGGCAGGGTTGGGGGTGGACACATGGGACCCTCACCACCCAAGGGAAAGAGATGGGGGCAGCCTGGGGATATGGGGACCCTCATGGCTCAGGGCATGGAGCCAGGGAAGGGAGGACCCTGCCACCCAGGGTGGAGGATGGCTCGGGTCCCCTGTGCCAGCTGCAGCAGGGGTGTCCTCGGTGGGGGGCTCAGGGCTGCCCGGGGGCTGCCGGCACCAGCAAGGGCTTGGGCAGCACTGGGGGCTTCATGGAGAGGGAGCGCTCCAGGGTGCTGGGCCGCGGGCCCCAGGGTGGCCCCCCCGGCGCCCCTAGTGAGTGCATGCGGGTAAGCCCCCGGGCCAGGCCGGGTGGTCTCGTGGGCGTCCCTCCCAGCGAGTGTCTTTGTGCCAGGGGTCGCCTGGGTGGCGGGGGGCTGTCAGGGGGCACATCCAGCCGCCGGGGTGCCCCGTCACGGGGAGCCAGGGGAAGGTTGGGGAATGGGGCGCCCGGCTGTACCCGGTTGGCAAAGGAGCTGGTGGCTGGGGGGGTCACCGGCCACCCCGAGCCCCCCGTCCTGTGCAGCCGCTGCAGCAGCTCCTCCAGGGTGGCCTTGGGTGGGGGTCCCGGGCCGGGGGGCTCTGGGCAACCTGGGGTGTTGAGATGGGTGGCCTGGCCACGTCGGTGTTCTGCCACTCGCTCCTGGGGCATCTTGGTGGGTGGTTGCGGGGTGGCCTCAGGGGTGGGAAGCTCGGGGGGGTCCCACAGGCCCCCAGCCCCTCCCTGGGGCGGCAGCAGGGGGTAGAGGCGGGGGGCAGGTGGCTGGGCCAGGGGCCGTGGGGTGGCAGGGGACTCCAGGGGTCCCTTGGGGACAGCAGGGCGACGGTAGCAGGCTGCCAGCAGCCCAGCAGCCAGGGCACCCAGGGTGAAGGCGCCCAGCACGCAGCCCACCAGCACTGGCACCGGCACCGTCGCTGCAGCTCCCGTCTCGGCCTGACGCACCCCTGCGGGAGCACCCATCAGCCCGCCATGTGTGTGGGGGACCCAGACCCCAACCTGGACCCCCCTGGGGATCCCTCTTGGTCCCTGGGGTCCCTCTCCCACCCCTGGGTTCCCTTCCTGGTCCCTGGGGTCCCCCCACCCTGGGTCCTTCTCCTGTCCCTGGGGTCCCTCCTGGTGCTGGGGTCCTTCCTCCACCCCTGGGGTCCCTCTCCCATCCCCAGGGCCGCTGCTGGTCTCTGGGATCCCTGTCCCATCCCTGGGATCCCTTTCCTGTCCCTGAGGGTGCCTTCCTGGTCCTTGGGATCCCCCCATCCCCAGGGTCCCTTCTAGTCCCCGGGGTCCCCCAACCTCTGGGATCCTTCTCCCACCCCAGGGGTCCCTCCTAGTCCCTGGGTTCCTCCCATATCCCTCCCTGGTCCCCAGGGTCCCTCCCAATGGGTGTCCAGGAGGGACAGACGGGGTGTCACTGACCATGGGCCAAGTCCCCGTCACCGTCCCCCGCAGCCGGTGCATCTGTGAGAGCAGAGTGGGGTCGGGCCAGGCCACCCACGTTGCCTGGGACCACCTGTGCCCCCCCACACTGTCCTCCACATCCTCCAGTGTCACCCGCATCCGCCTGTGACCTCATGTCCCCAGAAGTTCCCATGGTGACCCTCTATGTCCCCCAATATTCCCATGTCCCCAATGCCCCCAGTGTCACCCATGTCCCCCACCCGTCACCTTGGCAGGTCCCAGTGATCCCAGGGGATCCCTCCACGTCCTGCTCGAAGCCACTCCTGGGGGACACGGGTGGAATGTCACCCACTATCCCCAGTGTCCCCACCCCACGAGGAAGGGACCCAGGAGACTGGGAGGGGGTAGCCCCCAGGGAAGGCCACTGCGGGGGACACTTACGGAAGGTCCTCGGAGAAGGGGACACAGCCCCTGGGGGGCAGCCAGACGCAGTAGGGGTCACGGGCGGCCAGGCAGCTCCTGCGTGGGGGGACCCAGGCAGCTGGGTGCTGGAGCTGCCCCTGCACGTCCCTGTGCCCTCGCACGCTCTTGCACACCCCTGTTCCTCGCACACTCTCGCACACCCCCGGCCCTCGCATACCCTTGCACGCCCCTGTGCCCTCGCACACTCTTGCACACCCCTGTGCTCTCACAGGTCCCCGTGCCCTTGCATGCCCTCGTGCCCTCGCATGCCCCGTCCACCCCCCGCTCACCTGCGGCAGGCGCCGTGTCGGGCGCAGCGGCTCAGGGGCAGACGCACCAGGCACCCAGTGAAGGCGACGTAGAGCTCCCGGCCCGGTGGGTGCAGCTCCAGCCCCAGCACCCGGCTGGCGCCCCGCGGCCCCCGGCACCTGCACCCCCCATAGCACCCATCGTGACTGCACCCCACCTCAGCACCCACAGTCCCACGGCACCCCATGGCACCTTGCAGCTCCACGGCACCCGCCAGCAGCCCGTGGCACCTGCATGGCCCTGCAGCACCTGCATGACCCCATGGCACCCATCAGCTCCCCATGGCACCCACATGGCCCCCCCCCAGCACCCATCAATGCCCTATGGCATGCGCATGGCCCCCCAGCATCCATGCGGTGCCCACACTACCACTGCACCCATTGGTGCCCGCTGCCTACCAGCACCCATCAGCACCCATGAGCCCCCCCAGCACCCATGGTGCCCACAAGCCCCCCAGCACCCACGGTGCCCAGGTGCCCCCCCCAGCAGCCCCAGCCCCGGATACCCAGTGCCTGGCACTCACCGCCTGGGGTCGTAGAGGCTGATCTCCTCCAGCAGCAGTGTCTCAGCGCTGGTGTCCCCGGTGTCACCAGGCTCTCGGCTGTCACCGGGTGCCGGGGTGCTGCCGGGGTGCCGCGTGGCCCGGGGGTGCTGCGCGGCCGCCAGGACCTTCAGCACCCGCCCGTCCTCAGCGCCCAGGAAGAGCACGGTCTGGTTCCCCTGTGGCCCCGCGCCCGTGTCCACCGCCAGCTGCGTCAGCCTGCGCCCAGCACACCCTCGCACCCACCATGCACAGGGCCTTGCATGCCACTCTGCAGCCACTCGCACACCTTTGCACCGTGGTCTTGCACACCCGTGCACCAGGGCTTCGTGCTGGCTTGCACTGGGGCTTTGCACACCCTTGCATAGGACCCTTGCACACACTTGCAATGGGGCCTCGCACACTGTTGCACACCCTTACAGCAGGGCCAGGTCTTACATGCCCTCACATAGCCTTGGCCGGGACTTTGCACATCTTTGCACGAGGGCCTTGCACCAGGGCCTTGTGCACCCTTGCACAGGGGCCTTGCATGAGGACCCTCCCCACCCCACAGCACCCACAGGACTGGCTGCACCCTCACCCCCCCTGCACACTCACACCCTCCTTGCATGAGCTACCTACCCCCTGTCCCCAGGGCCACACATCCCCTAGGCCACCCTGTCCCCCCGCCGGGGCACACCTGGTGCCGGTGCGGGTGAAGAGGGGCCGCCCGCCAGCGGGTGCCACAGCACCGTGCAGCAGTGGGTGCTCCTTGGCGAAGACCAATGTCTCGTCAGGGAAGTCCCCGGAGGTGACAACACCGGCGGCCAGTCCCATCCCAGCGCAGCAGCCCGGCCTGCAGCACAGCCAGCGTGGGGACCCAGGGGTCCAGGCAGATGCCGCACCCCAGGGGGACCCAGGTGTCCAGGCTGGGGGGTGTACCTGGGTCGGGGCACCCTGTCCTCGGGCACTGGGGCCCAGGTGCCAGCGGTACCGCGGGGTTCGGCGAAGGGTCCCTCGAACGCCCGCTCCACGTCCGCCAGGTAGAAGGCGCAGACGGCAGAGCCGGGGATGCTGCAACGGCGGCGGGGGGTGGCACTGGTGCTGGGGACACCCCTGTCCCCTCCCGCGGCTGCCAGGTCAGCCTTGGTTTGGCCAGGGCCCCTCCGCGTCCCTGTTGGTCCCCGCTGTGTCCCCATGCCCTGTTCCCGTGTCCTGTCCCACTGTGTTCCCATGTCCCCCTGTGAGTCCATCCCCATGTCCCCATGTCTGTGCCTCCCATGTCCCCATATCCCCATCTCCTGTGTCCCCGTGTCCCCATGTGTGTGCATCCCCACGTCCCCATCCCTCCCGTCCCCATATCCCTGCCCATGTCCCCCCATGCCATGCTCCACTGCCATGTGTGCCTACAGCCCCCTGTCTCCTTGGCTACCCATGTCCCCACGTCCCCCGTGAGCCCGTGTCCCCCCGTAACCGTGTCCCCGTGTCCCTGCCACCATGCCTGTTGGGCTGGGTGCCGAAGAGGGCGAGGACAGCGGGGCGCCCGTGCAGGGCCCGGGGGGGTGTCACCGCCTCCAGGACATCGAAGTAGAAGACGGTGTCCCCAGGGATGGCACACTGCAGCCGTACCTTCAGGAAGGACGTCCAGCGCCGCTCCAGCACCCGTGGGGAGCCCCCTTGGTCATTGCGGCACACCCGCGCCACCCGCGCCACCACCACCTGCACCGGCACCCGTGGGCATCAGCACCCGAGGACCCACAGGCATCGGCACCTGGGCACCCATGGGTGTCCGTGCATGGGCACCCACAGGTGTCAGCACCCGAGGACTCTCAAGCATCAGCACCCAGGCACCCATGGGCGTCAGCTCCCAGGGAGCCACAGACATGAGCACCCAAGGGCCCGTGGGCATCGGCACCATCACCCGGGCAGCCAGGGCCATTGGCACCTCAGGCTGGCACCCATGGGCACCCACGAGCACCCACAGGCAGCAGCACCCTGGGGGGCACCAGCACCCAGCCAGACACCCCAGGGAGGGGGGCACTGGACTCTCCCCTGCCTTGATGCCAGGGGGATGGGCACCCAGGTGCCCCCACCCCCTGTGCCACCACATCCCCGTGCCCACCTTGCCCAGGGCGCTGAGCTCCACGGCGACCTCCCTGAAGAAGAAGTAGACGTAGGGACCATAGGGCAGCGCCTGGACAAAGTGGGGCTCTGGGGGGACCGGAGGGGAGCTGTCAGACCCTGCCGCCTCCTGTCCCCATCCCCCACCCCTGCGCTCACGCCCTCCCCTGCCCCTTCCACCCCTTGATGGCCCCATAGCCCTGTACCACCAGATCCCAGCCCCTGTGTCCCCCCAGCTCCACAGCCCCAGACCCACCTACTCCCCCACAGCCCCCCCATACACCCCTAACCCCCTACCTGTGCCCATCACCCCCCTACACTGGTACCCCTCTGTGCCATTCCCACACACAACTGTACCCGTCTACCCACTCCACAGCCCCCCACGGACCCATACCCCTCTACCCCAGCCCATATACACCCTGACCCCTCTACCTACCCCCAGCCCCCCAATACACGCATACCCCTCTACCTGTCCCCATCACCCCTCCATGGACCCGTACCCCTCTACCTGTCCCCATCACCCCCCCACACCCGTGTCATCCCCTCCTATACAGTGGGGTACCCTGCAGCCAGCGGGAGCTGTACTTGAGGGTGCGCAGCGGGGGGCGGCCGGGGCTGAGGCTGCGGTAAATCACTGCGTCGCTTGCCTGGAAGTCGGCCACTGTGGCTGAGTACAGGCTGCCGTCTGCAGGGGGGTCACACCAGCGTCAGCACTGTCCCCCTCCCTGGATACCCCCGTGTCCGTCCCCCGCCCCCGTCCAGCACCCACCGACAAAGAGGGCGACGATGCTCTGCTTGGCATCGAAGGGGCACCGGGCCTGGCCGCTCACCTCCTCGCCCTCCTGCGCGAGGCTGCTCACCTGGGGGAGGTGGGGGGGGGGTTGGCAGAGGCAATGAGAACACCCCCTCCTTCCACTCATCACACCCTCATGCTGCCTCCAGCCCCAGCATGGAGACGCTGAGGACACCCACACTCATCACACCTCTGGGCACTGCCCTGCTCCACTCCCCAGTGGGGGGCTGAGGCCCCCCACACTTATCACACCCACCACCCCCCTGTGCTCCCTGGCGGGGCTGAGACCCCCCCCACTCCTGACACCCACGGTCCCCCCACGCTCGCCCCCACCTGGTAGATGCGGCAGAGGGGGCTGAAGGCATTGGTGCCGCAGGCCAGGAGGGTGCCAGCGTCGTGGGGCACCAGCACCCTGATGTAGTTGTGGCACTCGTCCTACACGGGGGCAGGGGAGGGGACATGGGGGTGGACATGGGCGGGACACGGGGGGCCCCGGTGTCACCACCTTCCCCTGCCCTGAGCCCCCTGTTTGACCCTATCCCTTGTATCCCCCATACCCTCTACCCCCACACCTCCATACGCTGTACCCCTATACCCTGTGCCCCCCGTATACCTGTACCCCAAT